AATTTCAAGAACTCTGTATTAATCGTGTCCTGTGCAGTGATGTGTGGTTGGGTGTGGTTGTGGTGGGAATGCGTTTTTTTGAGAATAGTAATGTGTGTAGCATTTTATTTTTGAATGTATTTAGTAATACTTTATTCTGTATGACACGCTTTTTTGTACTATTTTCCTGTTATAATTTATTAGAAAGGACTTTATTTTTAAATTATTTTTAAACTGTGATGTTAGTAAATATTAGATGTTTAACAAGTAAAAAAGAAAACTATTTTAAGATTTTCTTCACTTCCGTAATAATGCATTGCGTATTAAGCGTGACAAATAGAAAATCAACGACCATTATAATACAAAAACATCATTAGGTTATGGTGAATTAGCAAGTGTTGAAAATTGCGACAATCTTAATGACGGTGAAAGCCGGATAAAGAAAACAATGATTGAACCAATTCTTCCTGACTTTGATTTGTGGGAAAATGGTGAGCAATTTGAGTATCGCTTTTACTTATAAAGACCTAAATCATATCAAGAGCTGTCCGGTCGTCGGTGTGTAATGCAGTTTTGACAAATAAAGCCTCTTCTTCATGGTAAAGTGGTTGTTAATTAAATTACTTAGATGAAGGCTCCTGAAGGCTTGTTTGAAGATCAATTAAAAAAAGATAGAGCTAGTGACCCCAGAGCTGGTGCTTTCTTCGCTCAACGAATATCGCAATACAGCGAGGAAGTGCTGCCATTAAATGTATACTGCCACAGGGACCACGCTTTAAATTTATTTTGGCTTTCTGTTAATCCATTTTTTATTATAATTATATTTTTAGGATTATTTTACATACTCAATTTTTGTGTGTGATAAGGGAGTCTTTATCACATTTATTGCTTTTAGATACTTAGAGCGGTGATACTGTGTTTGAATTTATCCATCCATCATAAATTAAAAAATGCTAGTCAGTGAAAGTTATGCCTTGGAGTTTAGTATCTCTTATATATATATTTATATATACTGTATTATATTCTGTTATTGTTATCTTACTCAACATTAAAAAATCTATTAACCCTATTTTTAATTTTAATATTAAACAAAACAACTATTTATGTTTTGAGTAAAGTATACTAACTCCAAACATAAATACTCACGATGACTAAGAAGTACCCCTGACTGCAAATCCATGGGACCCGGGTTCGATCCCCGGCTGAGACGAACATCGATGTGATGAGCATTTGGTGTTGTGCTTAGGTCTTGGGCGTTTAAATATGTATTTATATGTCTATCTATCTATAATATGTATGTATATCCGTTGCCTAGTACCCATAACACAAGCTTCACCAGCTTAGCATGGGACTAGGTCAATTGGTGTGAATTGTCTTTAAAAAAAAAAAAAAATACTTACTTGACTTATATGTGGAAAGTTCCATCACAAAGCAATAACATTAAAGAATAACGATGTATAAGACAACTTTATATTTAATTAAGAGTTTATAGTGAAAATCTAACCACTTTCATTTTGTAGAAAATATTTCTATAATTTTATACTAAATCACCTCAAAAACTTTTAGAAAGTCTAATAAACACAAACGTTAATATTTAACGAGAACTTGCGGCGCCAACCTTACCACATCGGTGTAAACTTGTCGCGTTGATTGTACATCTCAAATAATTATGTATGCAGTTTCACAATATATTTATTATTATTATCGTGTTAGCCAAGTCAGCATGAAATTCATTGCTATTTGAATTCATATATCGGGAGCCATTTTGTCCAACATTTTTTTTAAATTTACACATTAATTTTATTGTAAAAAATAAAAATCTTTGTAAGAGGAACAGTTCATAATTTTTCCAATTGTATAGCCTTCTAATATTATTATTATATTAATAAAAATAAATAAATCAGTGGCGCTACAACCTCTTTAGGTCTTGGCCTCAGATTTCTAAATATGTTTCATGATAATTTTTAAATCTAATAGGCAAGAAATTGATCAGCCTCCAGTGCCTGACACTGGAGGCTGACGCCGTTGACTTTTTGGGTCTAAGACATGTCGGTTTCCTCAGGATATTTCCTTCACCGTTCGAGCATATGATAAATGTGCACATAGAAAGAAAGTCAATTGGTGTACAGCCGGGGATCGAACCTACGACCTCAGGTTTGAAAGTCGCACGCTGAAGCCTCTAGGCCAACACTGCTCTGCTCATTATTATATTAATAATAGCTTAAAGTTAACTAAATTCCCATTTATTACATACATTTATTTACCTTGATCTAAATCATCATTACATAACATTCTAAACGTGCCTTAATTAACTAATATTTACGAAATTACATTTGTAATAAATTATTGATTTATAAAACGTCGTATTTGTAATTACTATAATTAAGTTCTTCGTGTTAAAGCAATTAATCATTTTAGGATTCCGTCGACTTTAAACCTTGTCAGAGCGTAATATGGACTTTTTTTTACTACATGTGTCACTGAGACGTTCCAGCCTCATTTAAGACTAATAAGTAATTTAAGTCTAACCTAATTTGCTAATAAGTTTATTTAACATAAGAAAATGTCCAATAACAGTATCTATTAAGGGGAAGACACTCTGTTCTTGTCCTCTATTTTTTATACGTTTATTTTATTGATGGATCATTTTAAATAATATTCGCTTTCGAAATTTGACAGTAAAGAATAGAATAGTGTTTGAATTCGATAAAATCACGGGGAGATTTAATAAGATATCCAATCATTTTTTATAAACAAAAGTAAAACATACTACATATTCTTTTTTTGCGACTGAGGCGAAAACTAGCTGCTGTGGTCTCTGGCAGAATGACCAGCGCTGTGAAACATTCTACTCCTCAGCATAATGCTGAGCCAGGGCCAATAACAACCACAGCACACACTCATTACACACTTGAAACGAACCAAATGGGAAAAGGGATTTTTTTTGATATCTCTAATTTTTTATTTTATTTTTTTCTTTGTTTTTTGTTATTTTGTGTGTGTAGTGTTAGTAATAAATATTATGTCTATGTCTATATGACTAATTGTGATAGTGTTGTAATATACGCGGAACCCAGAATATTACGCACTGTGCACCCTTAACCGTACGTTTAAAGTGAACGTGGATTAATGAAGGACGTATTGACGGAAGACAATAGATTGAAATGACAAACTTGTTTTAAATAACACGAAACTTGTTTTAATTGATAGACTTCTAAATGGCAAATAAATTTTATTATTCTGTTTTCATTATATATTATTTATAAAATTTATTTTAAAGATAATGAGTATGTATATATATAATCTTTATAAAGATATATCTTTAAGTTCTTAAGTTTTAATTCGGTTTACTTAATTTATAATTAAATGAAGCGTAATTAATTAATTCAATATTTACAAAGGAATTGATCACTTCTACATATGACCGAATACAAATCGTTCACTATTAAAACAGGCAATATCTTTTCAAAATATTTTGAAACAATTGTTCAGTTGTGCAAGCATCTTGTTAATTAGCTACATTTAAAATAACACATTTTTACTTTTAGTTTTCTATAATATATGTAAATATGTATATAAATATATGTATCAGTAAAATAAGAATATAAAAATTATTATAAGGAAAGAAATGAATTATTACGACATAAACAAAACGTAGTTTTGCGAAGCGACCAAATTTAGCGCGTTTTTGATCGATCAGCGCACTTTGGCAATCAGGAGTTGTCACAAAGCTCTTAAATATAGTTGAATAAGAAATCATTCCGTGATTACTTATGCAATTCTTAACAATAGGCTTGAAAGTAAGAACTATACTGGAATTGTCTCGATTGAAAGTCGATTTCCGCCGCATCCCGTGTGACTCACGGAAACACGTAACTCTCGGAAAAGCGGAAAATCATTAGAAATTCTTTAATTATTGCGATGTCAAAGCGATTAGGACGCCATCTTTGATGGGAATGCCGTCGCACTTGATTGTTAGAAAGAATTTTGATATCTTTTTTATGATAATTCATTTAATTTTTCAACTCGTTTCTTGATTTATCTGAAGCCTCATATACAAAACATTCAATAGTTTGATTTGAGGCTTATAGCGACATTCATGTGGTAGTAGGTTCGATCACCGGCTGTGCACCAATGGACTTTCTTTCTATGTGCGTATTTAACATTCGCTCGAACGGTAAAGGATAACAAACAAATATTGAAATTTGAGGCACACACCTAAAAAGGTTGTAGCGCTACTGATTTTTATCAAAATATATTTTTTGTGTGTTATTTGTTCTAAATTAAATTACTTAACTATTTATTATTCATTGTCGTTGTTTATTTAGTCTTGAAACAAAATCCCCAAATTTACAAAACATTTACCCATAAATTTACATTCTTCGTCCTTTTCTATCAAATTGTGTTTACACTATAAAGAAGAGAGATAGTTACAGTAACTACAAAAACAAAATCTATGATGTCATGCAAATGTTATAACCTTACAGCAGTGACCTAGCCATTGAGACATTAACATTCTATGTAAACCAAAGTTTACTCGAAACCGAGGACATTTACTTTCATATATATTATTCCTCCACCTAAAAATATGCCCAAGGACCTTAATGACACGTACTAAAGTGCCACTTAACCATAACTGTTCGTGCTCACTTTCCAAGTTGACTGTGACCTCTAAATGCAAAGACGTATGTCGAAGTGTGACGAGAAAATGGAGTTCAAGTTAAATGTTTGTACAAAGAATGATATCGTTATGTTTATTATAGGGGTTTGGTGATTGTTGTTTCCTTGGAATTTGATTTCTAAAAGAGCGTACCAATTCTGGCACTGAGTGTCCATGGGCGGCGGTATCACTTAACACCAGGTGAGCGACAATTAAGCCAAAATTATAGGTTAAAACTTAGTCATTTATTTTAAAAGCTTTTGGGATATAAAAACAAATTGTTACAGTAATGTTATCGTCAACTTATCTTAATTATAATAGAGTATAACGTGAGATGGTTATAAATAATCACAAGGCTTACCTTAGTAGTGGTTTGCATTTGAAGGAATGTCGCAATACCGGCGCGGACGCGATTTTTCACGCCACGAATTGTTCCCTTTGAACTTCTTATTGTGGAGGGCGCCTCTTCACTCTTAAAGTCCTTTATTCCGGCAAAATATTCCATCTCAGACTCGGGGCACTCACTTTTAACACTAACACTTTTCACTGAAACGTCATCGAATTGTTTTTCATTCAGATGAAAATCATAAAACTTATCCGTATCAAAATAATGGCTACTATAACAAATTTGATCATCCTTCATTTTTTCCAAGTTTTTTCTCTCCTCATACGTAGTTTCCGTTATAATTGGTGATTTAGGGCTCTGTCTCTCGCTCTCCGGGGACTCAGAACAGTTCTTTTTCAACTCGTTGTTGTACTGGGAAACCAATAGGAATGACGTCAACTGCACACTTTCTTTTGGAATATTAACATTCTCATTAATATTCTGGCTAACTTCCCTTTGACGTTCGTCTGACGAATCACTTTCAATGTCGACAGTCGTTAGTTTCGCTGTGCGGTCTCTAATATCTTGCAACAAACCCTGCGGTAGAAAGCTATCTTTATTGTTTACTTTAGCGAACGTTTGCAAAGGCTCAGGCGATTGTTTCTTTTCTTTTTTGCTCGCGTCTTCGCTGTGACTTTCGTCGGCATGCACGCTCCCATTCAATTCGCTGCTGTTTAATGAGTCACACGATATGTTGGAGTCGTTATCTTCAAAATCTAATTCACCCTGATTTCTTATAGAGCTAATGACTGTAACAGATACAGATTTCTTGGTAGATTTCGACAATTTCTTTTTAGGTAGAGGGGGCGGCGTTCCGTCAAGGTCGCTGCACGTACCTGAATCTAACGTGTCGCTCGGTGAGCACTGGCCGCTTGACATTATCATGTTGGTCATCGGATTCACGTACGAGTTACAGTAAATATACGGCGCTTTATCGACCTTGGAGAACTCTTCCGCTTCGAGTATTTTCGGGCGGCTTTCCTCTACGTTGAGCCGGACAAGACTGTTGTTTTTCTTGTTTGCATCGCTGATCTTGAAAGTATCAAAGTCGACCTCACTTTTGAGATGAACACTTGATATTTTTGGTGCTTTTGGCTTATCTGTGTCTGTGTTTATTCTGATTGTAACAACGTGCGGGCCGTTTGCGGTTAGTGCGTCTGTGCAAGGCGTGCTCTCAGGTCGATCTGACTGGGTCGCCGCAACAAATACCGTTGCTGATGGTGCCTTAGAATCAAGGACAAGCGAGTGCATCGAACTTAGAGAGTCCATGTTAGCACGGCTATCAGAGAATCCGTTCACTCTAAGTTTAGAATCATCGCTAGTGATTTGTGTAAAAGTAGTCGATCCGGTCCTCGGCATCACTTTGGTTGAGAGAGGGGCGATGTACTCGAGATTCGGCCGGGTTGTTACCTCCTCCATCATTATCGATTAATGAATCGACATAATTAGGTAACGGCTCTTCCGGTTGTTATTCTAGTCAGGTGGCGGTTTAGATATTGGTTGATGTATAAGGCATAATGGTTCCGGTCGCTCGAATGTAGGTCTATAATCCGCACGACAGCCTGTTTTTCTTGTTTATTTGTACCTGCAAAGAGAGAGTCATCGTTTAGTTTAATAATAATAAAAATATATTTATACTATGATACTAAAACGTTATGGTGGTATAATCTAAATTTCGCATATTCTACCACATACAATGGCGTGAAGATTGTCTTAAAAGGTAGAATTTAACATAGAAGTTACATATTACATTATTTATTATTTTATCACTACATCACCACATTGTTAAAATATATTACTACATTATCAAATTAATTATAATATTTCACTCACGTAATCCTTAATAGAATTATTAGTATATTAAGCAAATTTTTAAAATCTCTAGGAAGATCTTTAAATGTTTTTGGTAAATTATTAATTATAAACCTTGATTGCCATACAAAAATAATTTAATAACCAATTTCACCCCATGTCTACTTCGGCAGTAGTCCATTCTAGAATATATATAGGTATACTAGTAGACTCGGCCAAGCGTTGCTCTGGCTAAGATTTTAGTTATATTACATAGTAGTAAACTATTCAAGGGAAACGGTAGGAGAACTTATGTGAAAGGTAGATGACAGCTTATGTGAAATGTTGATAATTTTAACACAGCGCCATCTGTTAGAATTGTATCAAATAATAAACAAATATTTTGCAATAAATTAAAATTGCGACTATAATTTGAGATTTAAACTATCCTATCTCTCAAGTTGGATCGAACTGCACATGGTGTGCAAATTTGATTGATATCGGTTCGGTAGTTTAGGAGTCCATTGAGGACAAACATTGTGACACGAGATTTATATATATTAAGATATAACTAGCAGACCGGCCAAGCGTTGCTATGGCTAAGGTTTTTGTTATATTACATAGTAGTAACCTATTCAAGGGAAACGGTAGGAGAACACCAGTCATGGGGACCACAATGCTTTTATGCCATTAAATTGTAGCTTATGTGAAACGTTGGAACATTCAACACAGCGCCATCTGTTAGAATTGTGACTATCAAATAATAAACAAATATTTTCCAATAATATAATATTGCGGGTATAAATTGAGATGTAAGCTATCCTATCTTTTAAGTTGGATCAAACTACACACGGTGTGCAAATTTGATTGATATCGGTTCGGTAGTTTAGGAGTCCATAGCGGACAAACAACGTGACACGTAATTTATATATATTAAGATAAGAAATAATAATAAATTAGTAAAACTAAATACCTCACATTACATGATAAAGACACATTTTCAATGTCTACGTGACCAATATAAGAGTCATGTAACCTAAGTAAATGGAAAAATACGAAAAGAAGAGACTTTTATTACGAAAATAATATGCACCAATAATTAAGATAGTTTTCTAATTTATTTTTAACTACGCAGAAATATTTAAATTTATTCTTCGTTGCATCAATGAGGTGGTGAACGTCTTCAGAAGCATTTTATTTGTAACGCTAATTTCTTGCTTATTTGCATAAATTTTAAGACGTAATTAAATTATTACTTTTATCTTCAGAAATACGGAGTTTTTCTAATTATAAAATAGATCTTCTTCGTAGAAACCTTGCAGCTTTATAAATATATTAAAATATTGGACTTAGCGGATATATATATTACTAGCTGATCCGGCAAACGTCGTTTTGCCATGTTTATCATTTAGATAAAAAATAGGGGTTGATCGTAGAGGGGTTAAATTAGGGGTTGTATGTATTTTTTAATGCTGTTTCATAAAAAAAAAAATTAGGGGTGGACTACCCTTAACATTTAGGGCGTTGAAAAATAGATGTCCGATTCTCAGTTATACCCAATATGCACACAAAATTTCATGAGAATCGGTCAAGCCGTTTCGGAGGAGTTTAACCACAAACACCGCGACACGAGAATTTTATATATTAGATGTAGTTTGCATCTTGTCTTGAGCGCTGTCAAACTTCATATAGAAAAAGTTGTTTGGCTCTTACTAGATTTAAATTGGATTTTCTAAAGTATAGGCCTTAAAACCATAAAAAATTTAATCAAATTTAAAAAAAAATATATTTTAATTGCCATTAAATTATCCCTAATTTATTTAATTATAAGTTCTAAAACAACGTGTATGCATAAAATTATACAAGAAAACTAGCTGACCCGGCAAACGTTGTTTTGCCATGTACATATATTATTTCTAGAAAACATTTTTTTAGTTGATTAAAAATAAAAATATCTACAATCTACTAAAATAAAAAAAATAGAGGTTGATCGTAGAGGGGTGAAAATTAAGGGTTGTATGTATTTTTGTATGTTGTATCATAAAAAAATAAAAACAAAAAAGTTTATCTACAAATTAAAAAAAAATTTTTTTTGGTGTGGACACCCCTTATCATATAAGGGTTTGAAAGATAGGTAATAGCCGATTCTCAGACTTACTAAATATGCATAATAGATCTCATAAGAATCGGTCGAGCCGTTTCGGAGGAGTATGGGAACGAACATTGTAACACGAGAATTTTATATACATGTATATAGAGATATGTCATCACAAATTTTACACGCATACACATCAACTCATACTAGAACATAATCGAGATAGAAAGGGAAGAAATTAAACAAGCAAAAGAAAAAAAACTTATAATAATAATAATAAAAAACATAATAAAAATACATTAATAAGTAAAGAATAATATTCGCTACACAATAATAATAATTTAATTAGTCAATGTAATTTAATTTACTAAAATACTTTCATCGAACTTTGAGTCATATAGTCTAGTTTAAGAATGAGACAAAAATTAGCAACATACAAGTTTATGTGCAGATGAAAATTTTTGCATCGTGAACTATTATGTAAATATGTGATAATATTTACATAAATATAGTGAAATTTAAAACAATCATACTTTCTATGCAATATTATATAATGAATTTCGACAGATTCAATAATAAGCATATTATCACGTTACAGCCTTATTTACACCAAATTTATGTAATAAATTAGCATCTGTAAGTGATTTCATCATAATAGCAGAAGCGTTAAGTATAAAAGACGTTTCGTATATTGGTTAGGCGGGCGATATCACTAAATTAAATAGATTTCACGAATGTATTAAGAATAGTATCGAAAAGCTAAATATAAAACAACTATTTAATCCCATTCCCATCCCATTTATTTATTTCGTAATCCTACAGCTAACATAAATGATATACAACAAGCAACAAATATACCCAACGTATAGCCAAAGATGGAATAATGGTAGGGGAGCCCAAGAGGGGATTTCGGGATTTACTAAAGCGCGGCAGATTAATATACAGGGGGATAGCTTGTACTCGGTTAAGTACCTCCACAAAACATGAGGTCCATATATAAGGCCGCCTGTGAAGGAGACAGGATCAGATTAGTAAAAAAAAATTGACCATCAGAAATTCCCGAGCGCATCAGATTAAGGTAGGGTGAGTTAATTACATCCTAAAAAGTGTATATTCCACTAATCTGACAATTTGAGAGTGACGGAAAAAAGGGGAGGGCAACAAAGTTGTAAAAAAACGTCATCTCGACATTCTCGAGCGTAGCTAATTTTTTTTATTTTGAAGGAAATAATTCAAGAATAATGAAAAATATATAATCTGACGATTTCCGCAAGCCGAAATAACAAAAATTCGTCGATAAAGTTAAATGCGTGCAGCTGCGTGATGCCTACATTTCCTTAAACCGATCGGAATCTACTAAACGGCGTTCTAAATATTTCCCTCAAAAATTACATTTCCTGTGAATTTGAACCGATTCGAAACGATAGATTTTGAGAAATTTTGAAAAATCTTAAAAAATTAAGAAATATTTTTTTTTAAAGTGGTTTCTTTATCGATCAACTTCAAAAACTAATCCGCCTTTGAGCTTGAAAAACCACGTTGATCGCCACTAAGCTGGTCAAAAGCGGTTGATTCGTTCGAGAGATATCGTGAACGAAAGAAACCCGAAAAAGTGTTTATTCGGGATTACTCCGAAATTTGTGGTTCGATCAATTAAAATTGCAAAATTACTTATGAGGATGATAAAACTGCGTCGAATGCCGCCAACCGCGTGAAAATTGCTTGATCCATTCAAATGTTATTGCGGTTCGAAAATTCCAAAAATAGTGTTCTATGAAACTTCTATCAGACTTTCGAGCTGGGAGAGCTCAAATGCATAGAAATTTATTTCTTTGAACTCAGCGAGCTCAAAATATCAATTTTAAGCGCCCAGGAATGGAATTAGCGGGAAGTTGCAGGGATGGCCCTTTAGGTGAACCGTTTTTCTAAATTTTTTTTTGTCAGATCAGGCGAATCCCTCTAGATAATCGTCAGATTATGAGACAGTACGTTTAGAACATAAAGATGAACCACATATATCTTAATCTGACGCGCTTGAGTATTTCAAAATTGCGATTTTTTTTTGCAAATTATGAAAATGGCTGTGGGTTTGCGTCCCATCGAAATCGTCAGATTAGTGAATGAGAGCTTTTTTTGGTGCACTTAACACTCCTTAGAAAATCTGACGCGCTCGATAAAATTATTTTTTTTTTCATTTTCAACCCTTAAATACAACCACCCGCATCATGCAAACGATCAGATTAACATACGTACATTATTAAAAATACGTAGGGCATAGATGCTATCAATATCTGACGCGCTCGAGGATGTCCATGCAACAGTTTTTTTTTACATATTTAACTATCTATAGCCGCTTCCCCCACCGATGAAAAGGAATTTATCATATAACATTTTTTTCTTCTTATTATCTAAGCTTTGCATCCCAATAGGTCTCTACGACGCTCGAGTAAATCCCCATTTAGCATCGTGGGCTCCCCTACCATAATATATACAAAAAGGTGCAAACATTTAGGAAAGGAATCAATAAAAATGATTA